GGAGCAATGCCTGCTCGGCGGGAGTCGCAGTGCGGGGTGAGGATACCCCGTCACATCATCTCATAGTGCTTTCTTACCTGCTAGATGTGATGAGTTGGGTCACAGAGATCCCCTTTAGTGTCACTTGATGGGCCGATCATACCGCTGAGTCTGTCTCCCTGCCCTCTGGGGCACCCCGCCACCCTAACCTGGTGAGCCAGATCCTCTGGTTTCCTCTTGCAAAGGCACAGAGTTGGGGTCATGTCCACTGCAGAGCAACACAGACTGAGAGCCTTACCTGCTAGATGTGATGAGTTGGGTCACAGAGATCCCCTTTAGTGTCACTTGATGGGCCGATCATACCGCTGAGTCTGTCTCCCTGCCCTCTGGGGCACCCCGCCACCCTAACCTGGTGAGCCAGATCCTCTGGTTTCCTCTTGCAAAGGCACAGAGTTGGGGTCATGTCCACTGCAGAGCAACACAGACTGAGAGCAGCTCCTCCCTGGGTGGACTCAATCACAGGGACTTAACACAGCCCCAGTGGGATCAAACCTCCCAGATAAATCCATCTTACTCTTATAAACGTCATGTACATAGAAAGCTCATAAGATGTTTGCCCCCTTTATCAATGAAAGAGATGCACAGCTGTTACCCCTCACCCCATGGTAACAGTTATTTACACTGGGTTTAATATTACAGTGATTTTATTTAAATACAAAACTAGGATTTTAAGTGGTTGCACTTGCAACTACACCTGGATCCCTCACCTGAACCCTCCTACCCCACCCAGAACCCCATGCCAAGGTATATCCTTCTACAGTCTCTGCTGAGCACCAAACCACCTTCACCCACAGAGTTCTGTTATTGTTGCCTCCAGATTGCCCTCCTCCGCAGAACCACCTTCACCCATGCCCTACACTAAGTACCTCCACACTTGGATCCTGCCTTGCTTGGTGAGGCTGCCTGCCCATATGTGGCCCACCTGACATGGAAGGACAAGGTACTGGAGTATTTCTCGAGCAGTCCCTGTCCTGGTGGTCTGTTGAGATTGGATACAGCCTCACCACTGAGTCAGTATCCTAGGGCAGGAGTGAGGAAACTGCACAGTAGTCTCCAATCCTCTGTGCAGCCTAAGGCCTCCTAGTGTTATGCTGGAGCCTCCACATTTGACAATTTGCACAATTTTTTGGCACAGAATGCTCTCACGAGTAATATTAGCCTTTCCCGCGAATTGTATTGACCCCAAAAAGTTTGTTTTGGTTTGGTTTTTCCCCCAGTGTAACTCTGTACATTTTTCTGACAATTAAAACTTAAAATCTACAGTTTTAGTATTGATAAAAGATATGAAAAAAGTAGCTACAGAAATGTAACTATAATATTACCTTTGTGTGCAATGTCTATAATTTTTCCCTTTTCCTAGTGGCAACTCCAACTAAAGTGCACTTAGTAGAAGAATTCTTGAATAGAGCTGTTGGAACAAAAATATTGAACATTAACCCCTGCTAAGCTGATGTAAACGAGCATAGGTGTTTTCAGAATACAATATTCCCTTTTTTACATCAATTATATACATTTTGCTGAGTGTGAAAATGAATTGGGTTCATATAACAGTTATATTTATTGTATTGTTTTGGGCTTCTAGAAGTTACAAGGAGACACTGACCAGTCTTTGTCCATTTTCACTCCATATTTTATGTACTATGAAACAATTATACACAAATTATTTAACAAAGGTTGCCAACAACTTTACAATATTTTGCAGTCCCCTCCCCCCCACACACATCTCATTTACTTTTCTTCGTGGGAGTTGAAAGGAATCTTGTTCAGGCAGAAAAATGTGACCAAGCATTCAATGGCAGATACAGATCAGTAGTAATTATGTATAATTGCGATTTCTGAGGAAAACTAATTCTACCTTACTGGAAGGATTTCATGGAGGCATAAGAATTTCAGTAAAACTGGAGGTATGGTGATTGAATTATCAATTGTGAGCAGTTTTACAAAAACTGCACAAAGCAAGTTGTGCAGTTAATCACAATGGTTCAATAATTGTTATTCAGAGCACTCAACGTACTTAAAGCTTGAGGCATTATAACTGTTAAGTGAGGGCTATGCAGTTGAATAGGATACTTTGTCAAGCATCTAGGTTGTGGCCATAATGAGGTCATACGGTCTACTTGTTTTGCACAGGATGGTGTTGAAGTACCGTATTTTCCGGCGTATAAGATGACTTTTTATGCTAAAAAACATCCCCCAAAATCGGGGGTCGTCTTATACGCCGGGTATACAGGCAGTCCCCGACTTGCATGTACGAACGGGGCTTTTCTCGCCCCGGAGGACACAGACTGAGGGACCTCGCGGTCCCGCCGCCCGTGTACTCCGGGGCGAGAAAAGCTGCTCCGCGTCTCCCTGGTCTGCGCCTGGAATGAAAAGCTGCTCCGCGTCTCCCTGGTCTGCGCCTGGGATGGCTTTGCAAAGCCTCGGGGGAAGCCGGCAGCGGGGCAGCCCGGTCGTCCTCAGAGGCTTTGCTCCCGGTGTCCCTGGTCTGCTGGAGACGGTCCCCAGCAGACCAGAGGCACCAGGAGCAAAGCCGAAGCGGCGGCGGGGAGGTGGAGGGGCGCTGGGACGCTGCCGGTTGGCCTCTTAAGGGGGGGTAGTCTTATACAGCGAGTATAAGACGAAAGCCTATCTTTTTAACTAGAAAATTAGGGGGTCGTCTTATACGCCCACTCGGCTTATACGCCGGAAAATACGGTATTACAATCTGGTTCTATTTTTGTCTCCACTCCATGTAGTAGTAGAATATGGATGAAAGTCGTTTGTGTGATGGTTTTTGTTTTGCTTGCAATTTAAACACAGCTCAATTTAATTCTGAAACTTCAGGGAGTAGCAGAGTTAGTCTGTACAGGAAAAAAACAACAAATGGTGGTCTGGTAGCACTTTATAGACTAACAAAACGTATAGATGGTGGTATGAGCTATTGTGGGCATAGCCCACTTCTTCAGATGACCGGAGTTCTGAAGAAGTGGGCTGTGCCCGCGAAAGCTCATGATACCATCTACGTGTTTTGTTAGTCTATAAAGTGCTACCAGACCCTTTGTTTAATTCTGAAAGTCACCCTTTTGAACACTAAAGCTACTTGTTTGATCATATCTGTTTCATTTTGTTACTTTATTAGTTTTTACTCCTGATAGCCAATGTTCCCTCTAACTTTTTCCATCCATGTGCAAAATAAATTTAGCTCTGTGCACCAAGACATATGTGGATATGCATCACTGGTAGAAAAACATGTTAACATGTGGGTGTAGTGGGTGCTCTGCTAATCAGCTGGGCAGCATTTAACTCTCTCCTAGGTAGCCACCCAAATGCTCAGCTTACAGGGAACACTGCTGATAGTTATGTAGAGCCCAGCTATGACAGAATGATGGAATTCAGTTTTGGCCTGGATGCTACCAGAAATGTTGAGTGAACTGTTTGCAAAACGTTTTGATGGTGATACTTAGACTTGTAAGTACCTCCAACTTAATTCAGATCTTTACAAGGTTGATTTAATTTAAAAAAAAAATTGTTTGCTTACTGCTGTGACTTTTGGTGAGTGCAACATTTTAACGTTTGTAGCCAGAAGTACTTTTCATGTTAACTCTGTCCTTTCCTGAGCACCTTGGTGTCTCCCCCTGCTCCCCCTAAAAGGGCAGCATCACTATAAATTACAATTGAGACCAGTTTTTTTCTGTCTGTAGAAACAAGTATGATCTTACTTATGTTAATGCTTTTAACAGTAAATAGGAGGTCATGACCCTGCTAATACATGTCAGTTTGCATAAAACAACTTCTAACATATTCCATCTGATATAAGGTTTAGCCAGACCCTGCTAATACATGTCAGTTTTCATAAAACTTCTTCTAACATATTCCATCTGATATAAGGTTTAGCCTACCTGCAACATAGTGAGAAAAGGAAAAATTTACATCTTGAGATTTTGATTGCTCACAAATGTCATTTGAGAGTAGAACTTAATGGAATCAGTGAAATCCATGACTGTGAATTTTAATAGTGCGTTTTGTAGTTTCTTTCCAAAGAATGATTATGTAATTTCACTAAACATTCAGCTCTTGTCCTTTGGTAGTCAGGACAGATAATTCAGTTTTGTACCAACTGTAAATTCTTTGTACTGGAAGCTCATTTGAACTTTTTTCTCTTTTTAGTATTGGATGAATGAATATACCTCCTCCCTTGGAATTGGAGTATTCCATTCAGGAATAGAAGTATATGGCAGAGGTATGCACATTCAGGAAATGTTAAACTTGCTCTAAATTCTAGATAGGCTTTGTTATGAATAAAAATGTTTATCTTTCATGTATGTTACCAATGAGGCAGCAGTATTGTCTGGTTCCCATATCTTGTTTGTTATATTTTTGTTCTCTTCCTGCAATAAACCTAGAACATAAGCTTTGGCTATCCACTCTCACCCTTCTGTGCAACTGTTAGCAATAAGTATATCTAAGCAAACTAGTTATGGTGGTATTAATTTGGGTAAAGTCAAAGTATTTCCTTCCTAAATAAGATAACAGTTCTCTAGTACAATATGCCACAAATAGACTAGGACAATAGATTGTATCTTTAAAAGTGTTTGTTCATGTGGGTTTTTTTAAAAAACTGGACTTTCATCTATTATAGACAAAGCACTTCTTATTTTAAAATGTCTTCTAATGATGGTGAACCATAAGATAAGGATTTGTTGTGAATTTGGAGGAGAGGGAAGCATGAAGTCACAGTTTAGTCTCCCTCAGAGCTCAGGGTGCTAAATTGTGTTTTATCAACTAGTCAATGGAATTTCCATCAACTAGTCGATAAAGGGGGAAAGTGCAGAGCTACAGCAGGGTTAGCTCCAAGCCTCAGGAGCTAACCGCACAGCAGCTTGCCTTTTAAATGTATTCAGAGCCATTGGGCTCTTAATACATTTAAAAGGCTGAAGCTTAGCGGGGGGTGGGGGAGACAGAGCACGAGCCAAGTCAGCTGATTCTTGTGCTTGACCTCCCTTGCCCACCCAGCACCAGCTTCTTTCCTTTTCTCCCCCTCCCTCCCCTTGCTGCCTCTGATAGAGGCAGCAGGGGGTTGGAGGAGCAGCTAGTAGTGTCACTACTTGACTATCCGGTAAGTATAAGCGTATTGGATAGTGGACTAGTCGTTTAAGTCCCTTGTGTTGTGTACAGTAGCATTTCTCAAACTGGGTTCTGTGAACCCTGGGGGTCTGCGGGGGGGTAATCCAAGGGTTCCATCAGTCTCACTGAACTGCTCTTCCTCCCTCTAAAAACCTCTTGCATGCTTCAGAAGAGCTGTTAAGTGCCCAGAAAGCACTGGGAGTGAGAAGGGGAAGCAGAGGGTGGGGCATGTTTGGGGGAGGGAGTGAAAAGAGGCAGGGAGAAGGAGTAGCAGGAAGCGGGGGTGAGGCTGAAGGTTTGGAGGTCTACACATTTTAAATCAAAATAATTCAAGTTGCTAAAGTTTGAGAACTGCTGGTGTACAGCATTTTCTTTATCCTGCAGAGGCAGAAGGAAGATCCTTGCGAAGATACTAAGTGAAACTGTGTGCTAAGTGATGTATTCTTTTAACTCTGTTTATGCCAGTAGATATGAAGCACAGACTGCAGATCTGAGTAATTTATCTTGTTTCTTTTAGAGAAACAGAAATTAAATGTAATATTAAAATAAAATAATGTAAATACATAAATCAAGGAATTCAAACACCAAGCTTGGTATACTAATGCTAACTCCCAAATATACAAGCTAGCCAGCAAATGTAATTACAGTATAAGTACTGTAGGTGTCAATCCTGCAAATATTTAGGCACGTACTTGAAGCTAAAGTAAGTGTGTGTGTGTGTGTGTGTGTGTGTGTGTGTGTATAATGTATATGTGTGGTGATAGGATGTAAAATTACACTGGTCTACAATTTTTTAGAAGTCGTCTGCTTCAGAGATAAAATGTGCTATTATGTATTTTGATGTGCTGAATTCAAATATGACAATTAAAACAACTGATTGGCTACTGTTTCCAAGATATTTAGGTTTTTATATTTTACGTCTATGTATATTGTGTAGATAGTAGAGTTTTAATCATAAATTGTAAACCTAGGTATTTTCATGTGTTTATGGTTGCTTTACATGATATTTCACCTGTCCTGTTTATGTAACACTTTAAAAATCAGAAAAAGGGTTGTTATAAATAAAATTTATTATGAAACAAAAGGCAAAAAACTATTATGTACATAGTTTAGTCCTATTCAGTGTCTACTCGGCGCTTCTTGGCTTGTCTCTTGTATTCATTAAATGGAGCATCTCTTGTCACTGTCCAGCAATAGTCTGCAAGCATTGATGGGCTCCATTTGCCCTGATAGCGTTTCTCCATTGTTGCAATGTCCTGGTGAAATCGCTCGCTGTGCTCGTCGCTCACTGCTCCGCAGTTCAGTGGAAAAAAACCTAGATGAGTGCAAAAAATGTATCTTTAGTGACATGTTGCAACCAAGGCTTTTGTATGCCTTGAGGAGGTTTTCTACAAACAGCCTGTAGTTGTCTGCCTTGTTTCCGAGAAAATTTATTGCCACTAACTGGAAGGCTTTCCATGCCTTCTTTTCCTTGCCACGTGGTGCATGGTCAAATGCATCACCGCGAAGAAGTTCACGAATCTGAGGACCAACAAAGACACCTTCCTTTATCTTAGCTTCACTTAACCTTGGAAACTTTCCACGGAGGTACTTGAAAGCTGCTTGTGTTTTGTCCATGGCCTTGACAAAGTTCATCAGACCCAGCTTGATGTGTAAGGGTGGTAACAAAATCTTCCTTGATTCAACAAGTGGTGGATGCTGAACACTTTTCCTCCCAGGCTCCAATGACTGTCGGAGTGGCCAATCTATCTTGATGTAGT